AAAAAAAAAAAAAAAAAAAAAAAAAAAAAAAAAAAAAAAAAAAAAAAAAAAAAAAAAAAAATATATATATATATATAGCCGCAATTTAGTTCGCGAGCTACACACAACTATCAAACACAAATGTAGTGATAAAAGTTGTAAACCCGTAAAAAAATTGAATAAATTTGATTTTCAGTTTAAGTTTTTTAATATGACTATCAATGTCTTTATATTCATTCGTCCATATTTGTGCTCTTCTGAAAGTCGCATGTTCGGTACCAAGCTGATAAAGTGTTGTTATATCAGTTGCAATTTGCGTATTTGTAATTCACAATATTTCTTTAAGAATCAAATTTATTATGGTTGTTTAGTTGATAGCTTGCTAAAAAATAAATAAACTCAAATAATTAAAATCAAATCTGGAGCTTCGATTTTTAATCTAACTATTCGAATTGATCTTTAATTCAGATATTCAGATCAGAGACAGTCAATCCAGATTTTATTAAATTTGGATTGCACATCTTTAGGTTCGTTATTTAAAATTTTTTGACCAATCCAAGTAAAAATCTCTACTGTCAAAAATAGAATTGAAGCTCCAATCAAATTATACATATATTAAAAATAACATACCTTTTCTGTTGAAAACATTTAACGCTGCTTATAACTCATTAGCTAACCGGAGTTCACTTTCCACTACTGCGATAGGATCAAAATCCATATTACCACTTCCTTGCACTATTGGACGAACTTCACTTACATCTTGTCCACCAAAACTTGTATTTGACAAATCAATCATCGATCCAATTTCTAGCTTTTCATTATTTGAGAATTGACAAGATTCCAAAATATTATTTTGTTCTAAGGCTGTATTAGGTTGTTAGCTCTAATGCGCTATCACGTAATTCATTCTCTGATAATTCCTTTCCATAAAACTGAAGTTCATTTTTTAGATTAGAAATATAAAAAGAATGAATTTTAGCCATACTTTCAAGTCGTTCTGATGATAATCGTAATCTGTATGTGCCGTATAACCACTTTAAAATAGAAAAGTTACGCTCACAACTTGCTTGCGAAGGTATGATTGAAAAAATGATTTTAGCAAGATCTGGAAGATAATTAATACTATCTTCGATCACTCCCCACCATTGAATAGGTGATTTTGAAAAATCATAACTAAAGTTAAACGGATAGTCATTATTTTTATAATCAATTAGTTGAGTAGTCATTTGTCTGCATGCAGCCTCATCATTAAAGGTACTTTGATAGAATTTAACTGCTATTTCGCAGATTTGTCTAAACATTCCTTTGTGTAAACCAAGACCTATAGGTTAAGCAAATAATAAATATAATTAAATAAATCTGATTGTCAAAATGTAAATATAGTACGTATATATATCGATATTAATTAATTTCACCCAGGTTTTCTATTCAATAATATCTTAAAGCCATGTGCTTTTATTGTTGTTTAATCAGGTACATACGTACATACATACGGTGCAGAAAATTTAAAAACCTCAATCTCTCTATTTAGAGATAATAAACTGGTAGCACATTGGAGATAAATTTCTTAAATTATCGACCTTAATAATGTGAGAGATCTAGGAATCTCAATCTTTTTGAATAAAAATAATACACCAATAACAATATGTACGTACGTACATAATCGTAACTATTTTATGCATATTGTTGAAACTTAAAATAAGCTGCTGCTGAATTAATTGTATATCTTCAATAAGTTATATTTGATTTTTACTTTATAAAATGATTGAGGTTTTTAGATATTCTGTATCGTACGTACGTACGTATATATATACTTACGTGATATCCTATACCAATAAAGTTAATTTAGTAAAAAAAAAAAAATCTAATTACTATAACCGGATATTATAAAATTAATACCCTGGCTCAACTCTCTCGCATGACTTTTGTCAGGAGGAAATTTGTAACTAGTTAGTAAGTTTTTAGCCCAGTAAATTAGTAATAAAAATACCCCG